CTGACATGTACCAATCTTTTACCTGGCTTGACTGCTTTCATTACAGCCCGTGATGACTTCAGCACAGCTTCATAGATAGCCCTCTGGTCAGGTGTGAACTTTCCATTTGCAGGGAACGTGCAGGTGATGTCGGACCCGTAGCAGTAATACTCTCCTCCCATATCAAACAGGCTAAAAAGGAAACAGAGGGGGAAGAAATTAAAATTTAACTCCAAAGAAATAGTAGAATAGGAGTCATTTCTCTTGCTCTGCACTTAAAAGTCATCTGCATTTTGGTACTTGGCCATCTAATCACCACTTGAATGCCATTCCTAAGTAAAGTTAGACAACACTCCCTTGGAATCTCCAAGCAGAAAGGTATCTGCATTACTTGTAGCTTAAATGGACATTGGGCTGCGCTGGTCCTGGATGGAAACAGAGAGAACACTTGAAGAAAGATAAAAAGTACATGAGGAACCCACATCAAGCTCTTCAGTTCCTGTTTCTAGGACCTCTTCTCAGAAGAAAAAACATGTCTTTTATTTCTTTCCTGAGAAATGCTAGCACCACATAAGGGGTCTAACCTCAAAACTTAACAGAGAAATGTTAATTAAATCATGGCCTTTTGTATTTAAGTGTCAAAACACATCTGATGGTTTACATAAAACATCCCCAATAAAGGTTGACTGCCACTGCTCACAATAGCAATTATAAACTTTACTTTAAGACAAACTTGCCTAACAGGGATTAAAGAAACAAGGATTATGGAAAGATCCAACCAAAAAAGAACATTTAGTACAGTTTCCTGCATCAGAGGTAGAAGACAAAACACACTGTTTTCTTTTACGGGGACAAAAAACCTGGTTTAGCCCTCAAGAAGCATATTTATTCTATCAATGATTCACCGCTGATTGCTCAGCTACCAGAAATCAATCTGCAAGAATAGCCAGGGGGTCTCTATACCCTTGCAAGAACCAGGTTAGACATTTGCAATACTGTGCTTCTTGAGCCTACCTGATAAGGCACTGCACTGGTTTCAGCAGGCTCAAAAATCAGCAAATAGCCAAATAACCATTTGGACCAAAGAATACTTGGGCAAATAACCCCCCTAGATCATCATATATTGATTACAAGAATGCACAGAAGATTTTGGTCTTGACACACAGTATTTGTGTCACCTCTTGATTTCTTTGGTAATGAATCAGAGCTGAAATCTGCTAATTTAAATCTTCTAACCACCTGAAACAACTGTACAATACTCTAATCGTCATAATCATAAGAAACAGAATTTTCCTTTGCTGTGTTTGAAAACTTTGGAGTTTTCTTCCTCTTGCTTCTGCTTCACAGACAGGTCAGTCAGACAACACAAACAGGAGGAAGGACGCTTCTCTGGGCACCCTTTCTGCCATGGAGTCCTAATGACAGCAGTAATTAGGAAAACTGTGCAGTGTAGCTCTGCCCCCAACCAGCACACATGACAAGGTAAAGAGAAATATAAACTACCACAGAAAGTGCTACAGCACGCAGTTGTAAATGTTTACCATTTCCAACATAACTGCCCCTGAAAGCAACAGACAAGTAAATGAAGGCGTTCATGATAAAGCTAAGTAATATTTCATCAGGATTGGGACTCTTCTTGCTGCATTGCATATGCAGACACATACTCACGAAGATCTACTCCAAGAAAATTTAAAATGCACCCTACCATTTCCTCTGTGAACAAATCTCTGAGCGCAAGCCCTGCTGAAGTCATCGCCAGCCTCCCCAAACTGGGCAACGCTCACCTGCAGAGAGACTTGCAGGACTGGAACTTCAGGAACAAACCCAATGGTTTACAATGTGGAACTGTGCAAGGCTTAAAGCTACAGGAGCAAACTCCTTAGGAGAATGCTACAGAGAGAACTGCGAAGTTATGTATGTACACACAGAGCCAATACAAACACTATATCTATTAACTTAAATATGAAATACAGTATGTTAAAACAGAAAGTTGCTAATTGAAAAAAGATACACAATAGACAACAAATGTCAGACCCACAGAGTAAAACCCCACAATCTGACGCCAGCATAGCAACTGTAAACCAGCCCAGCCAAACCTCAAAATCAGAAACCCCATCAACACTGCCTAGGTTTTGATTTTATGGTTAGACTCGCTTCTAAAAATAACTAATGATACACACAGAAAATCTAAGGATACAGGAAAATAGTAGCGGCAACTAAGAATCATGTAAGAAGCTGCTATGTTCTCTAATGTGCCAACAAGCTACGGATTTCAGATCAGTTATAAATCTTTCAAACTATCCCAGATTGAACCCTTTGAAAATCACAAATCAAGTTCCATGGTGCTTTATGGGACTTGCGGCAGTTCCGTGGCTTGACTCTGTTGCATTCACAAGTGTAAGTGTCCATTCAGCACGGTGACAGTAAAGCTGTGACCATCAACTTCCAAACTCCCTGTCCACGTCTACTGGAAGTTGCTATGCTTTCTGTATTTTACCTGGAGAACAGTTATTCTGAACTTAACACAGCCAAATTTTAGCTGTCTTTAATCTTACAATTATCAGCATTTTCTCAAACCCATTAATCACTCAGTGGTTGTTAAATAGTTTTTGAGTTACTGGAGCACTGAGTAATGGAAAAAAAAAAAAATCACAAAGCTGATGGTACACCAAAACAATGCTCACAAGCTAAGAAGCACCATTTGTTTAGGTTTCTTGGCTTCCAGACAAGAGGAGACATGAGGGAAGATGATCTTTCAGATTCCACCTCAGAGCAACAACACACCATCCAGCCTGTATGCTTCAGTGAGAGAGCATCCAAAACAAACTGTACATTTGGGAGATACTTTGGCTCTTATTGGGAATACTCTTCAATTTAACTTCAGTTGTGAACATATCCATTTGTTAAAATGTTGCCCAAGATGTGGAAATAGCTCAAATACTGTAGTTATCCTGAGGAAATAATGGGAGCCTGAGAAGATCCCAGTTTTGTATGTTGCCTGCCAGGCAAAAGAAGTGGTGAAGCGTACTGAAGTCCAATAAAATGCATCTGAGCTACTGTCTTTTCCTGTTGGCTAACTGGAAAAAGTTTCTAAAAGGAGGCTCCTTAAATCTGGGTTCCTTAGATAAAATAAATTTCTTTTTCCCCGAAATCAGATGGTAAATGCCAGTAAAAGAGACAGTATTTATGTATTTTAGTATGTTCTCAATGGCACCTATAAAATTACCTGCTTGACAACGCAGTCTTACAAGGGTCATGTATAGAAACAACTACTTAATGTTATTTGGACTGTTATCAAAGGCAGCAATAATCTAAACAAATCAAATGCACAAATGAAAATAGGCCTTACAGGCATCTTGATCTATGGCTTACCTTTTAAGAGCTGTTTAATGTAGAGTAACTTATGCAATAATATATCAAAGTATCTCCAAACTCTATTAATTTATCTAAAAGGGAAATACAAGTGCTACACATCTAGCAGACTCTTTATGTCGTCTAATACAAAATTTAATTGCGAAATCAGTTTTCTGCTGAATGAAAAAAAATTTAATTCCAGAACAACCCTTTCCCCACTCCTTTTTCAGCAAGGATGTAGTTGTTAATCACTGATTTCAATGAATGCAGAGATGATGTGTCTGAGGTTGTCAGGCTTCCGAGGAGACTTGAATGGGAAGGTGGCCAGAGAAGAAGTGTCACTGATCAGAGAGAGGTGCATGGTTGTATGTCAAAGTGCTCACTGATTTAGCTTGAAGCTGATGAAATCTTTTATTGCACAGCTCAATCTCTTTCAAAAACATCTGAGAAAGGAGCTAACCTTGCTTTGCATCACTTTGTTGGGAGCAAAAGCAACAAAAACCTACCTGGCTTCATTTCAGGGTGAAAAGTGTATGGTGTATAAAGTGGATCTAACAGTCAGAAGACCTGAGCACTTTCTAAAAATTCCACATTACTGTTTCAATTTGTTTTCTAGAATTAGTAAGAAGCTACACCACAAGTAAAAGACACATA